AGCTTCTTTTTTTCAAAAAAATTTTTAAACAATTCGTTTTTGAACATTGTTTATAAAAAAAGTGATTTTTTTCAAAATGGTCCCAAATTTTCAAAAAAAAAATTTGTTGTTTTCTCTTCGTCATGAAAAGCGTATTTGCGTATTTTAACAAAAAAATTTTGATTTTTAATTTTAGTTGAGATTTGTGACCTGTAGGCTGCACGGCGCAAAATCAAAGATGCAACTTCAAACGCCTTTAACGCCACCATTTTGTAATATTTTTTTAATAAACAAATTTTTCTTATGAAGCTTATATTGTGTACTTTATGGTATGCTTTACTTTAATTCAATAAACTTTACCAGTTTTTTTTAAATTCCTGAAAAAACGTGCATTTACACGAGTTTCCCCCCTTAAAGCGTTTAATTAAAAAATTCATATCTGAGAATAGACTAAATGGATTGAAATAAAAATTGGTATAAGTACGCGTTGATTATGCAAAATTAATTGTTTAATTGTAAAATAAATTCGTTCGTTCAAAATTTATTGGAAAGGATATCTTATAACGATTCGATAACCGTTTACAAATTTCTTGAACCGCAATTAAAAACAATGTTATGACGTTTTATGAGATCCTTTAATAAATATATAAACTTAATATATGAATAAATTTTAATGTGTATTAAAATATTACAGAATGTTCTGATAATCCAGATGAGAAGATGCCGAAACAATCATATCCAATACATTAACCGATTAAAGAAAAAAATTGCAAATCAAGAAATGGAGGAAAAGTCTCATGAAGAAATCATATTATCCATGAAAGACGAAATGTGTAAACAATTACCATCTTTTAATTTTTTTAAACTACTTCTTACACAGTGTCGTAAAAAAAGAAAGAAAGATGACAGAAAAGTCAAATCGGCTGCAGAACATTTACATTATTATTTAGCTTTAAAAATTAAAAGATTGGTTATAGTAAGATCTTCAATTGAATTAGAGTAGCGCTTACAGTTTGATTTAAATTTAACTTAGCCATATTAACTTAAATTAGGAAATTTTCTTTTTGTTTTAGATGATTTAAGAGTTTGAAATACTCATGGGCATTAATATAAATAATAATTAAAATCAATGGACTGATGCTATTCTAAAGTTGTTGAAATATTTTTATAATGAAACAACAAGATTCAGTGAAAAAGCACTGATGAGATAACTGTATTGTTAATCTTAAAAATTACTGATCATTTCAATGTCATATTTCCTGTAAGTTGTTATTTAATTATTTACGTTTATTGTATGTTTATAGTTAATATTTTGTCATTATGTTTATTTTTCATTTTTTTAGGAAAATACGCTGCTATCACACACAATGCCAGAAGCTTCTGAGCCGCCCAGGCTGATAGCTATTGTAAACGAAGAATTACCGAATTTAAACGTGTCCATTTATATAGATAAAAAGACGATGTTTACGGAGAACCAACAGAAGGTCTTCTATATTTGTTTTCATTATAATGGGTATTTAACGTGCTGAAGCGAAAATTGCCTTGACATTCATATCTGCAATTTTGTTCAGGAAAAAAGTAGAGAATTTATATAAAAAATCAGAACAGTCGTTAATTTATTAGAGCAACTTTAGTTGCAATTTTAAATTTAAACTGTGTTTAATTAATTATTAATTAAGAATAATAAAGAATGTTGCACAGAAAAATGATTTAGGTAAGGAAATGTTTAATTTAATACATTTTCCTTAATTTTATAGGTTATCAATAATTTAATTATCTACTGTTAAATTGGTTGTTTTTTTTACTAAAAAATGGTTATTTTTTACTAATTGAAATAGGGCCGATTCGTTCACGGCTTTACTATTAAATAGTAGGGTAGTACCGACAGAAGTGGGCCACACTTTGGATTTTAGGGTATAGAATGTTAAAAAATTATAAATTTGGAAAATTTTTTGCGTCTATTTGTAGAGAATGGAATTACCTAACGTTTTGCAAAATTAATTTAAAAAAACTACTTCCTTAATTTATACAAAAACACTAATTGTCGAAGCAGTACGTCAATGCAGTGGCCCATTTCTGTCCACAAGCATAATTTTACTCGAAATAACGTGGCAAGAATACCACGCGACAATATGCTAAAATCTTTTTACACTTTTTAAGGTTAGGTCTATTAATATAAAAAAGGCTACTTATCCGATTAAATTCAATAAATAACTTATGCAAATAACGATATCTTTCTCAAGGAAAAAAAAGGAAAAGTATGTATTTTTTAGCACTAATTGCTGGAGAACACAAATGTGCGTTTGCACACTTGAATGTCTACTGAAAACTCAGCTCCTGTCAATAATTATAAGAAAAAAATTCGGTTGACAGACATGTCAATTGTGAAAACAAAAGTAGCTAGTGGCCCACTTCTGTCGATGGTACTCTAGTTTTCTACACGGAAAAACTTTGTGCAAGAATCATTCCTGAATTTGTTCAAGAACTGAGGATATGAGAATAATTTAAGAAATCTTATTTATATTTTCTTTGAAAAATTCTAAGCAGTATTTCTATAAGAATTGTAGAGAAATTCAAGACAACTTCCTAAACTCACTACAGAAAGTCTTGAACTTGTTTTAGAATAAATTTTTACGTTTGCGAGAAAAAAAATTTACTCTTATGGTATTATGCATTGGAAACGTATTTCACGCAACCAATCCCTGCCTAGTGCTTGGTTACTGTACTGTGTCTTCTAAAACAGTTCAAGAAACTTTCAACGCCCAGTGACTGAGATATTCCGATCGCGGCATTAACAAGAAGTTTTCCAATGTCATAATAAAAATACAAGTATTTTCTTGAATGATTTTTGTATTTTTCTGTAAATTTTGCAGAATTTTTCTCGCGTCTTCAGTTCCTGAACAAATTCAGGAATGATTCTTGAACAAAGTTTTTCCGTGTACTAATTCAGATTTAGAGAAAACAAAATAATTACAGAGTAATCTCTACAATGTTTTTAAAATTAATTATTAACAATTAACGTTAACACTCTTATTGTTGTTATAAAATTACAGTAAATTAAAAGATTATTTTTTTACTTCAGAGAATTGATCCTATTACTTTATAAAGTAACCTGGTTTCTCAAAGCATGGTAAGACATATTTGAAACGAAAATAATTAACAGAAAAATTTTTTTGTCACCCGGAATTGGTTCGGTTAAGTCAGAAAACAATACTGTTTGTAAATACCTGGTGAATACAAATATAATTTGATTTAATCCGGAATTAGTCCGATTGTACGCAACTAGTGAATCTGAGATTAGTCTGGTAAAATCCGGAACTAATCTGTTATTTTTTACTAGTGAATCCGGAACAATTCCGAAATAATACGATTTATGATCAGGTTTTTTTCATCCGGAATTAGTCCTGCTAAATCAAAAATTTGCCCGATTTGAGTAACTAGTGAATCCGAAATTAATTAGGCCTAATCCGAAGTCAGTCTGATCAAATTTCGGATTAGACCGGATTTACTAGTCACACAAATAATACTTATTTCGGACATAACCGGACTAATTCAAGATAATAGAAACCCGACTCTAAACCAGACTGTTTCGGATTAATTCCACATTCCGAAATATTAACCAAAGTAGTGACAATTGCTCAGAAGGTTACATGTATAATAATAGTGAAAAGAAATTGATTGTTTTTATAAAAAATATTGCTGAAAAAATTTATTTTTTTTAATCAAAAATAGGGTGAATTATACAGTAGTCGGCCATTTAAGGAATTTTAGCAACAGCAGTCGTCCACCAACATTTTTTAGTTCATAATATATAAATATTACTTAAACTTTGGTATGCAAAATAAAAAGTGACGTACTATTGAGACCATAGAATTTTTTATTTTTCTACATAAGTAATTTCTTTTAATTTTAAAAATAAAAATAAAGTGGCTGACCCATATTGCTGAAAAAATTAATTTTCTCATTAAAAATATTTTTTTGATAAAAGGTTAATCAAAAAAATTTATTTTATTTTCTAAAATATTGGTGAAAATAATTAATTTTATTGGTCAAAAATATTAGTGAAAAATGGTAATTTTTCATCAAAAATATTGGTGAAAAATTAATTTTTTAATAAAAAATATTCGTAAACAAATGAATTCCTGATTAATCTTTTTGACCAAAAAAATTAATGTTTTTCAGCAATATTTTTTATAAAAACAATTAATTACTTTCATCAATATTTTTGATTAAAAAAATTAATATTTTGCTTTATAAAAATTTTCAAAGTGGCGGAAACAAATTTTTTTCTATACAGAAACATGTTATATGAGATCCTGATCAATTGTCCGGATGTATGTGTGTGTGTGGATTCCTTTTTTTTAGAAGATAACTTTAACAGGTTTTAATGGATTCATATAAAATTTGGTAGGCTCATTTATCATATTAATATCTCAAATCTGACCAAAGGATTTTAAAAAATACCTCAAAAAAAAAAATTTATCGTCTTTTTTCCAAAAATTTTTCTTTAATCTAAAAAATTTTTAAATAGAAAAATTTAAGGTTATATATAATAAAATCGTATTCCTTACGTCAAGACAAATCGATCGGTATATATAAAGTATAGTTTTAATTTAAATTTAAAGAATTAATGAAAATTAAAAAATCAAAAATTCACATTTTGGCTATAAAATTTTGTGATTATTTAAACTTAAGTTTATAGATTAAATAATTGTATTCCTTACATGAAAACGAATCGATTGGTATACCTATATAAAATTTAAATTTGAGGTAAATTTAATAAATTAATGAAAGTTAAAAAATATAAAATACACATTTTAGCAGAAAAATTTTGTGTTTATTTACATTCAAGTTTAAATATAAAATAATTGTGTTCCTTGCATTGAAACAAACCGATATAATTGTAAATAATTATAAATTATACATTATTTTTCATTAATTTTTAGAAATTTCAGCTAAAATGTGAATTTTTGATTTTTTACACTGAAAAAAATGATATCGGTACTGTTCCTATAAATATATTGCTGGATAAATATAAGTACGTTTGCAATACGTTAATGGGGGGAAATTTAAACTGGATTGTTGTGATATAAAAATGGTTTAGCTATTAGACACAGAAAATTTAGGAGAAAGATTTAAGACTTCTGGCTATACTGTCTAGCAGTCTTACCAATACAGTTTCACATAAACAGTTCTGGTAGAAAGTTTGGGTGACATGGCTATATAGTATAAGTGTACTGCGCATAATCACTGCTACGGTATTAGTTTTCCCGCTTCATAACCTATCATACCTATCATACAAGCGTGTTGCAAGCGAGGGGAAAAGGGAGTTATTTTTCAATGTTTTTCGACTTCAGTTTTATTATATTAAAGAAGCAGTTTGTGCAATAATGTTTGATGAAGATGTTCTAAATCTTAAGGACGTATTAATTACGTGGGGTTTAGATGAATATTACGACGGATTTTGCGGTAAGTACAATTTCTTTGTAAGTTGATTATTTTTTATTATAGCTTAAAAAAGTAAAAATTTCAGTTTATCATAAGTAGTGTATATAAAAATTTCATATTATAAATAACTTTATACAAGATTTATGTTTTTATGGTTTCTCAAATGCATTTGAAATAGCTTTGAAAAAATTGTAGGTTATGTTTGTAATTAGAAAAATCTATTCTATAATTATATTATTTTGAATTCAAAATCGGCACATCTTCTATAATTTATTTAGAAAATATATATTTATTAAATTTTTTAGCTCAAAAAATAGATTTAGATGAATTAAGCCAATTGCATATACCTGAATGGTCAGGAGTTTTAGAAAATCTAATACCTGTAGCAGGTCACAGGATTAGATTTGTAAAAAAAATTACAGAGCTATTCGCACCTGATAATTTATTGAAGGTAGGTTTTTTACAATAAATTTATAAAATTAAATTTATGTAACAAATTTACAATAAATATAAAATGCAAAACCTAAAATTAAAAATAAAATAAATGTTAATTCATTTAAAGAAGAATGAAAATTAAATATTTATATGTAATATAAAGTACTTTCTCTATGAGGAAGCAAAATTATTATAATTTAATATTCTTTGGTACACTTTTTGCAGGGTCAGAGTATTGTCCAGAAAGATTATATCGAAATAGAAATTACTAAGGAGGATATCAGTTTCGCGACACATCCTGAAAATACGTCTTTTACAACATCCGCAGAAAATAATAGTGAAAATGTTGCAAATCCTTCTGCAATTAGTAAAAAAAAGAAATGCAGATGATTCATCTCATCTTGCAAAAATCCCTAAAACATCACAGCAGAATTTGGAAACTAAGGAAATATGGGTAAATATTTATTTTTATTTTATTTTTAAACTTAAAAATTTTTGTTTTTTAAAAATTATTTAAACATAAAAAATTTAGAAACTTAAAAATTCCAGACATTTTCTATGATTTTCTAGGCCTCGAATTGTATGACATTTTCGATTTTTGTCAGTGAATCGGCTTTTAGGGCGTAAGAAATAAAAAAAATTATGAGTTTAAAATCTTGAGAATTTTTCTAACTTAAAAATTATTTTAATTATTTGACTGAACAATTTTCTAGGAATTGATCTTGAATACATTTTTTAAAAAACTGAGTTTCAAAGTTTTTGACTGATTAAACTCAAAAATTTTATTTATTTATTTATTAAAAATCTGAAAATAATTTCCATAAATTTACTTTAAATCAATAAATAAACAAATAAGTAAGATTTCAAAAATTGTTAAGAAAAAAGAATCTTCAAATTCTTTTTAATCTCAAATCTAAAATTTTTAATCTAAACCTTGAAAATATTTTACAGTTTAATAACAGTTTAATATTAATAAATAATAATAGTTATTAATATATTTAAAACGCTTTATAATAATTAATAAAAAAATTATTATATAACCAATTAAATCTGTAAAATTACAAAATCGACATTTTCGATTCTTTTTGTAAAGTAATACGACTAAAGCGACTTTTTTATGTTTTCAAGTCGATTCGAGGCCTGTTTCCAGAAACTTTTAATAATCTTCTATACCTTTTCCATTATTTCCAGATTCTATAAGATAACCCGAAAGATTTTATTGGAATTCAATTATATTATTTTAAAATAATTAAAAACATGTTTCTTTTTTCATATCAGGACCTGCGCAGTCTTTTGAGTAAATTTGGTAGTGGACGTTGTCTTTTAGCTCAAGCAAATAAATCTCGATCTCTCAAGGTAGAAAAAGACCAGAATAAATTAGTGGAAATTATAATAGAGGAGAAGTTAAAAAACTCAGAAAAGTAGGTTTAAAAAATGTGTTACTCTACATCATATCTTATAAATTTATTTGTTATGAATCGACGTTAGCATGGGTGCAAAAATATATTATTATTATTTAGTAAAAGTCAATATAGTGAAATTAAATTTTCAAAAAATTATAAGTTTAAAAATACTAGCCCTTTTTATATAAGTTTTTATAATGTTGAAATGAAAGAAATTGTTATTCTATTTTTTTAAATACTGTGTCTGATACTGAAAAGCTTTTTATGCGTTATTATACCTATTATACAAAAAAATTGGATTTATTTATTTTTCATTATTAAAGTTGTTTAAAAGTATTCGAAAGGAAATTAAACAATTAAACTAAAAACTTAAAAAAATATCATAATTTTGTTTGAAAACTTCGAAACGGCATATACTTTTGCACTCAAGCTATGATATTTTTTGAATATATGTGCATTAAAAAACTGCGAATTAAACATAATTTTTATATAGTGTATTTCATCCAATATTTAAAAATTGTTTAAAAAGAATATAAAATACTCTACATATTTTTATAAATTAATATTTATATGTATTGCTTGTACATATATTTATATGTATATTTAAAATACAATTAATAAACTTATATCATTAATTGCATTTCTTGTATTTTATTTATTAAATTATTAGTCATAAATATTATATATATATAAGAAAGGAATGTTAGCTACCTAGTAATTCTATTTACTGCAGCTAAAAATTCTGTCAATAGTAGCTAGACGTATCACCTAGAAAATCTTACTAAAAATATTTAGACGTTATACCTATATAACCTTACTGTCGTTTAGATGTGAAATATAGAACTTATGTCTAAATTTTCTAAGTGCAAGTACTATATTTTTTCTGCTATAAAATTTAGACACCGCAACTAAACGTTTGGGACGACGATTTGGAGCGATATTATTTAGCAGTAGCGCCTAGAATTCTTTGAAGTAGACCTAAACATTATTTTCAGTGTTAACTTCCATTAATTCTTTAAATTTAACTCAAATCTATAGGTACTCAAATTTAATGTTTATATTATTATATTATTTTTGTATGTTTATTTCAATGTTAATGCTTTCTCCACGAGGAAGCAAATTTTTTTGCTGATTGTAAAGAGGAAGCAAAATGTTCATGTAATGAACATCTGAATTTACAACTTGTTTTAAAATTGTTTATGATTAAAAAATTAATTTTTTTCGTAATATTTTTGATAAAAAAATTAATGTTTTTCAACAATGATTTTGATTAAATAAATGATTTCTTTTACAAAAAAACTTCTTTTTTTTCCTTTAAAACTTAATTCAATTCAACACCACTTTGATAAAAAAAAATAGTTCTTTATTTTTGATTTAAAATTTTAATTTTTTTCACCGATATTTTTGATAAAAAATAAATTTTTTTAAACACTTTTTTTGATAAAAAAATTAATTTTTTAAACACTATTTTTGATTAAAAAATTGATTTTTTTCATAATTTACAGTTTTAAAAATTTATTTTAATGAACTTTTTACATTATATGATAGTTGAATTAATTTTTATAATGAGAATATTCAAGTGTTTCTTTGGAACCAGTTTTGAATTAGCCCACCGTTTTAGTCAACAACGTGTTAACCAATGAGAGATCACTTGCAGCTTAAGGGAAAGATTTTTTTCCATCCACACTTGATTGGTTAGGTTGCTTCTTTATGCGCGGCGAACCCGAGTTCAATCCCCAGTTCTTCCGAATTTATTTCCAGTAATTTCTGTGTTAATGTTGTGAATAAATAAACAGAAAGCAAGGCAACAATGAAAGAAAGAAGTAATTCTTTTTTATTTTCATTAAATTTATAAATATTATTTTTATGTTTATTAACTTGAATAATAAATAAATTTAAAAAGATATTATATAAATAAATAATAGTTTAATAATAAAATAATAATAACGGGAATAATTTGAAAGAAAATTCTTGGAAACTAACAATTTGAAATTTTAATAAAAATAAAATTTTTGATATATTCTTGAAAAGTTATTACCCAATTTAATATTGGTTTCTTCAAACTTAAGAAATACCAATGCGAGCTAAGTGAAGGTTATAAGAATACAACAATGGAAAAAAATATAAAATTCACATTGAAAATAAAAATATAGCCAGGAATGCTAAAAAAGCTGATAAAAATTTTTCCAACGAAACCAAAAGCTCATCATGTATGATTATATTTGATTTTCAGAAAGTACTAAATACTCCGAAAACAGAAGTCAGTACTTTATATTATAAGCATAAACTCTCCATCTACAATTTTACCATATATAATGTTGTAAATCACAACGCACATTGTTATCTGTGGACAGAGAACGATGCGAAGAAAGGCTCCAATAAAATAGCTAGTTGCTTACTTAATTACATTGAAAAAAAGTTTCTGTAGGCATTAAAGACTTTTACTTATGGTCGGACAACTGCGGTGACCAAAACAGAAATAAACATCTATTTTCAATGTACGTTTATGCTGCATCTAAATATAATATTAACATTAAACACGCAAAGGGACTAAAAATTTTCACTTTAAGTGATTGGAGTAATATTATAGACTCAGCCAAAATAACAAAACCTCAGATGAATTGGTTACAAACTGTGCAAAATAAGAATAAATTAAAAATAATACCTCTACTAATTTCTAAATTAAGACAAATATTTGCATCTCATGAAAATCGGAATCAATTGCTTTACAAAACTTTATTTGACTCAGAATTCGAAACTTTAGTGACAAGGAAAGAAAATCCCATGTAAATGTCAAAAAGTATTTTTCTAGAGCCGCATATACGAGCCTTCAAGGAATCTGCTGCAAAATTAAAAGATTTTAAAACTCTATGTAATACGAACATTATTCTACCGCAATATCACAATTATTATGACTCTTTTCCAGAAAGAAACACTGTTACCAAAAATCAAGATTCGAGTGACGGAGAGAAGTAAAAAATTCAAAGCGCGTTAATAATTATTTATTGAATATAATCCTAAAGTAGAATTACAAATTTGTCGATTTAAAATTTGTGAGAGAAATAATCTATAGATTATGCATTTTTGAGAAACTAGACATTCAATTATTAATATTTAATAAAACCTAAGATTTTGTTTTCATTATAAATTCAAGACAGTATTTTATATAATAAAATTGAAAAAATTTAAAATTTTATATTTTATAAAACTGACGAAACTACTAAAAAAAATTTAGATTTGATTGTGAATTAATTTACAATTGTAGTTGGAATTATTTTCTTTTTTAAATGTCTATTATACATTTATAATAATTTATTCTCTATAGTATAATTATAATCCGTTATTATACTAAAAGTAATATAAAGTTAGCCTACACGAAAAAAAAGGAAGAAAAGGAAGAAGCTCTTGCTATTTTAGATAGACTATATGTCGTACTTCGCGGGCATCAATTTTATGCTTTTAAAGTACGTTACTATTACTATAAGAGTATAACCATTATACTTATTTAGTATGGACTTACTTTAAACTAAAAAAGCATTATTTCATACTTTAATAGGTAAACGAAATTGCATACTAATAAAGGATAAAGCAGTTTGGTGCTAAAATAGTTAGTTTGTTTTTTCGAGTAATGGACGAAATACCTAAATAAAATGTTGATTTTCACGATTTTAATACATTTACATTATGTAAATTAGAAATTTCTCTTTAAAAAAAAATACCAAATATTGAAGAAATAATATTTAAAAAAAAATTCCAAACATTGAAGAAGTAATATTTTTTAAAATAGAATAAGCCTTTGATATTTTAAGAATACTCTATTTCGGTTTGCATAATATTATTTATGAATTTAAGTACTTTAATGTAAAAACGGCGAAGAATTTGCATCGCATTCAGTAAGTATTACTATACCTATTAATTTTCATAAAAAAAGTAATATAATATTGTTTTTCATTTACATAATGAGCCATATGATAAAACTAATTGAATTTCTATAAAGGTTAAAAAAAATTT